AACGTTGGGCAATTTTATTCACATGCTTAGTGACAAGAGCTATTCACATCGAATTAATCGAGGAAATGAGTTCATCAACCTTCATAAACGCCGTCAGGAGATTCGCCGCTATAAGAGGCCAAGTTAAGATTTTCCGATCTGACCGTGGAACGAACTTTATTGGCGCAATCGACGATTTAAAGATTGACTCGATCAACGTTGAAGATGGACCCTTCAAGAACTTTCTGTATAATTCTGGTACAACTTAGATCTTCAATCCGCCGCATTCGTCCAACATGGGTGGAGCCTGGGAGAGGATGATTGGTATTACCAGGAGAATTCTTGATTCTATGCTTCTAAACGCAGCCGGAAGAAGCCTAACACATGATGTGCTCAACACACTAATGGCAGAAGTTTCAGCAATAGTGAACTCTAGACCTCTGATACCGGTATCAGCAGATCCAGAGAATCCGTTAATATTAACTCCGGCTATGTTATTTACACAGAAAACCGACTACATTTTCACTTCAGATCATTTTGGAGAATTCGACAAACGAGATCTCTGTCTTGCCGAATGGAGGCGAGTACAGGCTCTGGCCAGTGTTTTCTGGTCCCGTTGGAGGAAAGAGTACCTGCCGTTACTACAACAACAACGATAATGGACCGAAGATCGCCGTGATCTCATCGAAGGAGACGTCATTTTTCTAAAGGATAAAAACCTTTGCCGTACCCAATGGTCCGTTGGAATTATAGTGAATTCATTTAAAAGTTCAGACGAACATGTCCGAAAAGCAGAAGTGCGAGTAATCGTTAATGGAAAAGCCACAACCTACACACGTCCTATCGTGGTCATGATTCTTCTCGTAGAGAACAACCCTATGTAATTATGTGTATATATATATATTGGATTTAGAAAGGACATTCACATGTACTATATTTTTTGGAATAGTGACATCAGATAGATTTCAGACGGGGAGTATTCTGGATCACGTTATCAATTGTATTTGCTACGGCATTTATTGGATTGAATTTTCAGATATTCATATTTTCCGGAAATGATCTGGACTTATCCGTATGTTCACTACCGTTTACTTTCTCTTCCTCGCCTGTCTATTACAAATGGATGCCACGACAAAACTGCTCCTGTGGATATTGTGACAAATCACCGTCAAGTACGTTTCAAATCGATTATAAACTGTTAAATATATATTCCGTTAATTCCGTCAACTTGAAAAACACGTTTATTCAACAAATATGAACTGTAATTATTTATTTCTATGAATTGAACTGAGAATTCTTTTTTCGTTTTTGACTTGATATTAATATTGCCTTGAACGTTCATATATTTCTTTTTCGTGCATATTGTAAAATATTGTATTTTTATTTCTTCCAGTTTACCAAACAATACACACTCTGTAAAAACTCCTGTATCCCTTCTGGTGGAATTATAATCTACAATCTTCACACATAAGCTGTTATTCTTTATAATTTGCCGAGATTGCGATACAATCACATGGTTATACTAGCTGAGTCAGGCTCAGCATAAAAATTATATACCAAATTAGGTATTTACCCGAATTAAGTAGTTTGCTGAACATGAAAATGTTATAATGTGAGAGGGCACTATGTCTTATGGCCACATATTCTTGTTTCAAATGTTTTGAACATACATGTACATGTACGTGTATCATAAATATTCAAAACCGTCTAGGTGGTCTTGTGGTGGTGTGCTCGCCTCGAGTGAGGAAGGTTTTGTTTGATCCTCATCTATTTCAAATAATGCCTAACTACTATATGTTAACCACGCGATATCTAGGAGAAAGAGCAAAGATTGGTCGATCCGGAGTCAAGATAATATGTCCGGGATGGGTGACGTGTTTTCATGCGGACTGTTACCTTGTGAACTAGCACGCAAACAAATTTGGATCAGCGTGTCGGTCTAGTACAAATTTGGATTCATATTCATCTTCTCGTCCTGAATTTATATGCAGTGAACGCTTATGGTCCAATATCTTTGTTCCCGAATCCATATTTGAATTCTATGTAAAATTTTACTACTTCGTTGTTATAATTTTTCATTATTAAATATTGTTTTAACTAACAACTTGTTGATATTCATACTTGCGCAAATATGTGATCTTCTGCACTGTATTTGGTTATAAAAATATCGGAAAGGGAAAAGAATAGCGTGCTTTTTGACTGCATTGCGCATCATAATCTTATTACCTACCTATTTTTTTCTGTGTTTCTGACTTATGAAACATGCACTTCAAAGATCCATTCAGTAACAAGAATGTGTCCATAGTACACGGATGCCCAACTCGCACTTACATTTTCTATGTTCATTGGACCGTGAAATTGGGGTCAAAACTCTAATTTGGCATTAAACTTAGAAAGATCATATCATGGGGAACGTGTCTACTAAGTTTCAAGTTGATTGGACTTCAACTTCATCAAAAACTACCTTGACCAAAAACTATAACCAAAAACTTTAACCTGAAGAGGGACAGACAGACGGACGGACGAACGGACGCACAGACCGAAAAACATTTATCGATTTCGGCATTTCTAAACTTGTCAGTAAAATATCATTCTAAAACTTCTTTTCCCACCAAAAGATATAAATAAATAGATAAAAAAAACGGAAGAAAGAACATCGGATAACGTAAAAATAACGTTTAGAATATAGAATAATGTAGCGTTCATCTGCAAATTATATTGAAAAATAATTGTCATAACCAAAACCATGAAAGATAACTCAAATCGTCCTTATGATAAAACAAGGGTTACGTGATCTTATGTTAGTAAAAATAAAGCGGGAATCCGGAGAACCACGTGATAAATAAAAATTACGTATGTCATTTTATTGTAAATTTCTAATAGACGAAAAAAGAGGATTTGTGGAAAATATGCAATACACTGTAATGAAACAATGGTAGTACTGTATTTTGTATATTTTTATGACATGCTATGAATGCTTTCTTTTTATGCAGGGATTGTACAATTAAAGATCGGGAAAAAAGTTTAACACTACAGTAGCTTTCAATTACATATGCATAGCTGCATGCGATTGAATCAATCACATTTCAATCTTTTTCAAAAAAATTAAACAAATCAATTCTTTATAAATTTTGGCAAAAACAAGAAATGTGTAGATTAAACACTATGGTGAAACTAAAAACTCAATATCGTCGATTATGCCATAAGCATATAGGTCGAACTAAATACATTCATAAAAAGAATAGGCAAAGAGGTTAGCTTTTTCATCGATAATAATTCCATGTTTGTCGAATAATTTATCACAAAGTAAGAGTAAAATCTTAGTTACATACTAGTAATTATAAATGGTTGGAAAAACTCATTAAAGATACCAGACCTATTTTTTTATAAATATGGCCGCAGCTTGATTTAACACAACGTACGTTTTAGAACTTTTGGTTTTCAATGTTCTTAAACTTTGTAGCTGATTTTGGCCCTCCAACTGTTTTGAGTCGTGTGCGAAACTTGTGTCTAATGTAGACGAAGCTAGTGTCTGACGTACCAAATTATAAGACTGATAGGTATCCTTGGTGAGCTTTTCTTTCACATTTGATACATTTTCATATACTGTTTCATCTGTTATATATGTTTCAAAGAACTACGGGTTTTTTTTCATGGCGGTAAAAACTATTTTAACATTTCTTTCAAAGTTAATTTTGACTTAAAAGTAATGTGACGAAAAAAGGGGAGACCCATTGGTGGCCTTGGGCTGTTTTCTGCTCTTTGGTCGGGTTGTTCTCTCTTTGACACATTCCCCATTTCCATTCTCAATTCTATGGAAATATTCCCAAGAAAGTAAATATAAACAATAAACAGGTTAAAGTCATATTGATGATAACTTAAGGTTCCACTAAAGTTAAAATATAGGACACTTCATAAACATCTAAACTTTGCCTGTATTTTTCATAAACTATGAGAACATATGTTCCTTTGGTGAACACCAAATTTTCAAAAAAATCTGGAGGCCTGCGAGACTACTTAATTTGTTTAAAATTGGTATGGACGAATACTGTTATATCTAATGCAGGGCAAGCGCATGTTGATTTTTCAGAAAATGTATTGATTTTCGAGTTTCAGTTAATTTCATGTATCTAGGTGAACAAATATCGAAGTTACAATACAGAAATTGGACAAATATGCCATTAAAACTTATGTATGTGACAAATCAACATGTGCTTGCCCTGCATTAGATATAACAGTATTCGTCCATACCAATTTTAAGCAAATTAAGTCGTCTCGCAGGCCTCCAGATTTTTTTGAAAATTTGGTGTTCACCCCAAGAACCGGTTTGGCAACAGCATTACAATTTCAAGTTTATTTACAATTTACACAGTGTGTATATGTCAAGTATGTTTAAATGAACATATGTTCTCATAGTTTATGACTTAACTCATTATAGGTTGAAAAATACAGGCAAAGTTTAGATGTTTATGAAGTGTCCTATATTTTGACTTTAGTGGAACCTTAACCAATTGACGACGAATACCAAAAGGTGATTACTTTAGTTGTTGTAAAGTTACTTACATCCAACTGTTTGGGCCTTTGGTTGTCTCCCACCACATCTCCTTATTGCTATATATAAGTTATATAACGATGGACTGATATTTATCTTATTGTTTTGAATACATAAGATGTTTGTTATGAACTATGTAATTACCGAGAATATCAGGTTGTCTTAGAATATAGATTTGTGCTAGTCTTTTGGAAATCCAAATGATTGTTTTGTTCGTAATGAATCACTGATATTCACTTCATGTGCTTAATTGCAAAGGAAAGGTGCCCCAGTAGGGGAATCTATTGACATATAGATTTGTAACTTTTGTTTTAGGGTTTATGCTGACGTCAATAGTGGTAGTGCACAGAAACACGTTTTCAGTACAATGAACAGAGCTGAACAATAGCGGGAACAGTAACTATAATGGAATTCACTGACGTCTTTTCCTACCGTCGAAATACAGATGAAAATTTGTGTAACGGAAGCAGCTATTTGAGGCCTTTATTTGGAAGGAGTTATACTACTTTGTTTATGTTGTGATTATTTGAAACAATTTCACAAAAGCATACATTAAACTTATCCATATTACTCGTTAAGATAGATAAAATACATGCGTATGCAAAATGAGTTATCAAATACAACCACATTTTGAATATAGTTGACATTGATTCAAATTCATAACATAAGCTCTAGGTCTACCAATTATAGAGTGTAAAACTCTCATACAAACTTCCACAAAACATAAAAACAAAACTTAAAAACGTTCAAAAAACGGTTACTCGAATGTTTGCTCAATTTCACCATGTCCCATTTAAAAATGTCTGGCTTCAAGTATTAACCAAAATTTCAAACACATAGTCCTTTATCACAAGAAGGGTTACTTTTACTACATTTAGCACACTTCAGTCCAAGTATATATGGCTTCTCTCCACTAATGTTACCCCTGAAAGTAAACAACATTGCTAATCAAATGCATACTTTTTGTTAATCTCAATACAGTTGAATCATCTACCATGCACTGTTCATGAAAAAAAATATATTAGACAATGTTTCAAATGCATTACGACTCTAGATGTACACTGCATGTCGAAAAAAGTTGCCATAATTAATTCACGTATTATCTTTGGACAATGTACACTATCGTGTTTTGTTTCACTGTTCCTTTCGTAGCTGTATAAAATATACTTGGAAATGTTTCCTAGATGTGTAAAATCAAAGCAGTCGAAATGAGATAGAGTTATATCCCTTATCACAACCTAGTGAATATATAGAAATGAACAACAGACATTATCACTTCAGATTCCACAGCTTCACTACTGTGCATCTAAAATTATCATTTGGGTTTTTTTTCTCTCTCTTTTTTTGTGAGTTTGACAATCTGGTTTCAATAAACAGTGTCTATAAAACGGCATAACGTAGATTATATTCAAAAAATTGTTAAATTGTCTTATATCTGTGAATACTGGATACTATTCAGGTTTATAATAAAGTATAAATACCTTATCACATTTCAAACGGCATTTATCTATGCTTTTGATGGTTTTATTGCTGGGTGCAGGTCTTAATTACGTTTATTTTTATTTATTCTTTGCATTTATATCTGAAGACATCTACGAAAAGTTGGAAACAGATGTTTCACTCATTAAAAAATCAATGTTTTCAAATGTTGTCTTTATTAGATATGCATTACCCTGGTCCATAGTTACAAACTATAATGTAAGCGTCTCTCCAACCAAGATTACGTATATATGGACACTTCCACATTGCACACCCAACTGTTTCCGTATCAGCCCACACCATCTAAGGATGATAATACAAACATGTTAATTGTTGTTATCATACCGAATTACCGGCTATCGTTATGGCTACTGAAATATGTAAAACAGATTAAATTCTGCTGATCAAAATTGCAAAATATTCAATTGTATTGCAATGGCAGCCGGAAACGCAGACAAAATTTGCTGAACACAATTGAAAAATCTATTTAATTGCATTTGCAATAAAAAACACAGACAAAAATTTGCTGTGCACGATTGTAGAATTAATTGAATTGGAAATGGCAATCAGAAACGTAGACAACGTGTTAGTCTTATAGTGTTTTTATTCTTGAGATAACTTCTCTTATGTGTGCCACATCATTCTCTCAAATTTAGGCCAGTTTGTATTCTAAAATTTTAATAAAACGCAAACCACCTATTCTTGGTCCTCATTTCTATCCACGTTAAATTTTTCACTTCAAAGCATTTTATGGAAGCGGGATCAATATACCCGCATTTATACATCAAACCGTACTGTACTGGAAACACCAAACTAGGCACTTTATATCTGAGAAACAGGCTATATATGCCCTCACTTTTAGAATTCATTCATACATTTTTGTATTATTCAAAATTATCAGTAAATTGTGTGTTCTACAAGGATCACCAGTCCTTCATCTTTCAGCTGATACCTCAATTACTAAAATATATGCAACATAGTTTAAGATTTACCCTTACGCGTAGGAACTATTTTGTTTTTAATATGTACTACTTTCCAGTATGTTCTTTTTTGACGGGCCCGATTAGGTGCTGTAACATCTTACAAAGTCTATCCAAATTTTGTTTGCAAAGGATTCAGCTAAAGCCGGTGCTAGGGGCCGTCTTAAACTTGTAGTGAGGTGAGATTTTTTTGTTCCGTGTTCAAGGCCTCACTGTGACTTTGAGATGAAGAACAGCAATAAAAGCGCTGTTCCTTTGCTTTTTGTGTGTTTTTTTTTCTTCTTTTTTTTTTGCTGTACATGTACTGATTTTTTTTGTTGTTGACTGGATACCCCCATGTCCTTTGTTTTTCTATTCTATGTCCACGTTTGATAAAATGGAGATCACAAAATATTTGAGATCCAGGTGAAAATGTCCATCTCCCTATAAAACTATAATATTAGATTTCTACATTCAACGAGTTTTTGTTGGAACCATCTCTGTTTTATCCCCAAGCAAGATTCCCAATGAATTATATATCTTATTCGTTTAGTTGGACACCGGACGTTCAGAAAAATATTTTTTAGTGTATTATATCAACTATTTTTTTCAAATATCATTGCTCTAAAAAATTGTTTTAAAATTTTTTTTAATAATTCTATGTTTAAATTGTTTGCATGATTCGAACCAATCTATAAGTAATTCTCAGCAAATCAAGCATTTCAAAATAGGGATAACCACAACATTCAAAAATCCATTTGTCTATCTCCATTAGAAATATAGGAAATAATTTCAACAACAAAAAATTTGTGTGTTGTAGTGTTTTATCTCCAGAAAGAGTTTTTTTTTTCATTTATTAAAGTTGCTTGTTTCTTTTTAAAACAAACAGTGGAACAAACAGTTGCTCTTCACGTCTATGAATCCTATTCCAACTTAACTTTCTATATATCGATCAAATGTTTTTGTTGTTTCCATTTTAAACTTCATATTTAATTCCATAACTTTAAGAAAAATGGGAGTTACATCCGTATTACACTCAGACGACAAAAAATCTGCTGCAATGGTACTCAGAAATGCAGACAAAAATCTGCTGTTCACGATAACAATATTTATTTAGTTGCAATGGTAATTTGAAACGCAGAAAAATATTACCACAAGATAGCCAAAATAAATGTTATTTATAGCTATCGGGAACACAGGTCATATTGTATCTGCCGTACGAAAAGCCAAGTTTAGAGTGTAAAAATAATTACACAAGGTTGTAATTAGATGCATACGTGCTTTAAAGGAAAATTGTTAATTTATAGATATGATATTATTTTAAACATCTAATTCAAATTTCATATTATGTTGTTGGGTTTTCGTTCTTGTATCAACAGTACATGTTTCAATGTTATAAAAAAAAGTAGGTTCCACTTTCTGGTATTGTCCTATTATCTTGTCATATTTAGTTGATGCAATATTCGATTAAAAGTCAACTTTGTTCTCGTAAATTGCTGCGAAAAAGCACATTTATTGTTGCACCGTGATAATAGTTGACCTAAGTGATGACCATTTCCGTCTTTCCCTTTGGAGTATGGTGCAATAGTTAACAAACCAATAGTGATCTAATAAAAAGACTTTCGATCCTAGATCCCATTATTACTCAAAATAAAGAAAACAAGAACCCAAAGGAGTTTCACAAAATAAGCGAATAAGTTCTGCAACCAGTTATATTTTTACCACAGTCGCCTGTCAATCTTTGATTAGTCCTGTTGTATAAAAAAAAGATTTTGCTGTAGCATAAATCTGGCAATAGGTTTTCTTTTTGGTCGTTAAACTATAGTTTAAGGGTTCTACTGCTCAGAGTTGAAGGTCGTATAGTGACCTGTAATTTTTTCACATCTTTGTCTTTTTTTTTCTTTCATCAACAGTTGGTCTACTCAATTATCATAACACATCTCTTTATGTTTGTTTACCAAGAAGGGAATGAAAAGTCGAAAGTCGAAGAAAGGCAAACCCTACCACAGAGAAAAGAACATAATTATATATAAAAGACACGAAAGTATATAGAAACATTAACTAGAGGCTCAACTGCATTTTCAACATTGACTTTTTTTTTTAGTAAAAATCATCATTTAAGGGAAAAAACTCTTTCAAGAGTTAACTGACAATTTCAGTATTGTTGACATATTTGAAGATCTTATCCTGCTATTTTTTCCTTTTTCAAAGTTTCTATTTACCTATTATAGTTATCAAGATAATAGGCAAAAAATGCAAAAACAAATGTTAAAAAATATCATTAAAGAGCTCCCAAATGAGTCTACTTAAGATTTCGGCCATTTTGGCTCATTTGTAGATCTTGTTTAGCTGATCATTTGTGCTATTTTAAGTTTCTATCTATCTATAATAGTTTTCAATATAATAGGCAATAATGGGAAAAATCGTCATCAAAGGGCAATAACTTCAATAAGGTGTCAACTAACAATTTTGGTTATGTTGACGTATTGGTAGATCTTGTCTTGTTGATCATTTTTGCTTAATATTGTTTCTATCTATCTATTATAGTTTTTAAGATATAAGCAAAAACGGAAAAAAATGGGTAAAAATCGTCATTAAAGGGCAATCACTCTAATTAGGAGTCGTCTGACGTTTTGGTCATATTGGATTATTTGTAGATCTTGTCTTGTCCTTGTTAAAGTTTCGGTCAATTTCTAATAATTTTTGGGATAATAGGGAAAAAATTTAAAATGGTAAAATTCGTCATTTAAGGGCAATAACTCCTATAAGAAGTCGTCTGACAGTTTTGACGCAAATAGACAATAGGTAGAGCTCAACATTTTGAACATTTTTGCTCCGGTTAGAATTTCTCTATTTATAGCGGTTTTCAAAATAATAAGCAAAACTTACATTTTACCCTTATGTTTTATTTTTAGCCATGTCGGCCATCTTGGTTGGCTGGCGGTCTCATCGGGTTTTTATAAACTAGATACCCAAATGATTATTGTGGCTAAGTTTGGCTAAAATTGGCCAAGTTGTTTCAGAGGAGAAGGTTTTTGTAAAAGTTAACAGACGACGACGGACGACGGACACCAAGAGATGAGAAAACTCACTTGGCCTTATAGACAAGGTAAGCAAAAAGGGGCAATTATATTTCTGGTAAATGAATTATCGGGAAAAAGTAATCTCTTTTTTTGTCGGCAGTGGACAAATCAAATTCATAATCAACAAAATGATTGGCTTGTGTATGCCATCTTTACTAGTCTATGGAACTTTACTGTAAAACAGTTTTTTAAGGAGCACGTATCAAAACAATTTAAATATAAAAAAGGCTGATTTTGTTGCATATAAAAAGGATAATATAATAATAAAAAAAAAACATTACTAGGACATGTGTATATTATAGTTTACATATTCTTCATTGTGTGTTTTAATATTATTCTGACATAATTTTTTGTAAGATAGCCTTCCATGTACGTATATTGTTCATTACTTATCCTTTTCAGTGCATATATACCTGTGTATAATGACCACACATTTCCCCAGGCACACAGTTCTCGGTATAAATGTTGTAGTGATCCTGTTCTTCTTCCCAACTCCTAGTTGCTGCTAAAATGTCCCTTGCTCCTGTAACACATAAAAGATTTAAATCGGTTTACATATGTTCATGTTTCTAGTAAAATCGTTTATCATTTAGATTTATGAAACACCGTTAAAGGCGTATTTAAATTCGTTTTTAACACATGTCTTATTATTATTAAATACGTATGAAATGTCCTAAAATGTATTGCTTTTATATAGTTATATTATACTAAAACAAGCTAAATACATTTGGAGATCTTTGGAGAATGGAGGAGATTTTGGTAGATTTGGGTGTTTTCGAATACCCTCTAGTACATCGCGGCTGTCGCACGACGATGTCAACTCATTTTTTTTAACTTAATTTACTGCATAATCACACTATTTCTACCATTGTTCAAACACAATAGAAATCATTGCTGTCATGTCTATGTAATCTCATTCAATATAAAGTTGTTGTTTGTTTAACATTTCGCCTTTTCATAGCCGCTAACGAGACTATAATGACAAATATTCAATAAAACGGTATCATGTTGCATGAATGCAACACATCTCCATTACATACGATTAAAATTACAAAACAAGCGTGCAAAATTATTTTGTCATGCAAACAAGTAAACATCTAAACGAAATACAAACATATTTTAACTGTAATGTCCTTAACAAGTTCGTAAAAGAGGGACGAAAGATACCAGAGGGACAGTCAAACTCACAGATCGAAAACAAACTGACAACGCCATGGTCAAAAATAAAAAGACAAACAGACAAATAATAGTACAGATGACACAACATAGAAAACGAAAGACTAAGCAACACGAACCCCACTAAAAACTGGGGGTGATCTCAGGTGCTGCGGAAGGGTAAGCAGATCCTGCTCCACATGTGGCACCCGTCGTGTTGCTTATGTTATTAAAAATCCGGTAAATAGTCTAATTCGGTAGGTCACATTCGTGAAAAGGGAAGGGTATTGTAGTTACGACATAAGGAACATATCCGATATCATCTGTGAAACGGTTATTCCATAACGGTCAACCAACTCGTGATTGCGTCCGTAAAGTTTACGAAGGGATGATTTCAACTTCACCATTTGGAACTCTTAGTTTAATAGCTTCCTTGTGAGCAGCAATCCTCTATCAAGGAAATCATGATAGGAAATATAAGCCCGGGAATATCGTATCAATTGGGAGATATATACTACGTATGCAGGCGCTGCTGGAATTGTGCTACATAGAAATGGAAAGTTCACAATTGGGAAACTGAAATCATCTCTTTTGTCGTAAAGTTTTGTTTTCAACCGACCCTCATTGTCAATTTCTAGATGTAAGTCAAGATATGAGGCAGACATAACTGTATCTGTAGTATCCTTTATCTCTAGTTCGATGGGATAGATTCGTTCAACATAGTCACCAAATTTTGTATTATTTAGTGAGAGAAGATCATCTATATAGCCGAACGTAAAGCTAAAGGATATTGCTAACGTCTTACCTTTCTTCCTAAGAAGTTCCTGTATGAAGTCAGCCTCATAATAATAAAGAACCAATTCGACAAGAAGGGGCACATTTGGTTCCCATTGGAATTCCGACAGTCTGTTGAAAAACACGTCCTCCAAATGTAACAAATATGTTGTCAATCAAGAAATCAAGCATCTTGATAATGTCAGTTTCGGAGAATTTTTTGTTTGAATCAGAGTGATTCTTTACAAAGTAGGATGTATCCCTCCCCAAGACAAGATACTTGTATCTACGTTCGCAAATATTTTTAATGAAACAAAGTTATACCAACTCTTTCAATTTGTCTTTTAGTTTGGAATGGGGAATACTTGTGTAAAGTGTAGAAAAGTCAAATGTTTTAATACTATTGTTAGATGAGAGAGTCTTAGATTGTATGTACTCTAAAAGATCTTTGGAATTTTTTAGCATCCACATCTGATTCACGCCACCTCTAGAATAGGCAGTTTCACAACAACTTTGGAGCCCGGCTTTGTTTGCTGATAAAATAGATGTTAATAATTTAGAAAGAGGTTTCGTGGAGCACTTGGGAGACCCAGCAATATACCGTTGTTTGTAAGGACACTTATGTAGTTTAGGTATCCAATACAGTGATGGAAGATCCAGTTCTTCATCTTTGGTTGAAATTCCAAAGGAACATAGAACAGACTTATGATTATCCAGAATTTCGTCTTTGGTAAGTGTCGTGAGGGTATATGTTGAGTTTCCAAATAAATTGTCAATACCTAATTCATTTATCAAGCAGTTTATGTAATGATATTTACACACAAAAACGATGTTGTTTGGGCTTTATCTGCGGGGACAACAACATATGTGTCATGGAGGTAGGACAAGTGTTTTGCAACATGTGTGTCTTTAAAAATTGACGTAGCGTGGGTATTGATAGACCCATTTAGTTTCTCAATTCGGATTTGTATCAACTACCTCACAGCCTTAATCCATTCGGAAATAGTATCTATGTCTTCTTTCTTGCGTTTAGCCCATTGCCTGGCATAATCCTCGACTGACTCCATCAGTATTTTGAAGTTGTATTTCCAATTGATGGATTTAGGCTCACAATATTTCGGACCTTTGGATAACAAATTTCGCAGGGAAGTGTTATTGACAATGTTGAGGTCTCTGGTAATAACGGCCAGCCGGATTATATGTGAATTGGGAACTAGCACATGTGCAATCAGGAGGTTTAGACTTGAAGTCGTCAATGTTGAGATCCTGCAAAACGTGTTTGTAATTGAAAATTTTAGTTGCAATTGGTTTGTAAGGGTTTCAAAAGGAATCTTGGTCAGATATAATTTACAATTTCGTATAAAATGAAGAAACATATACCTCTTCTTGCATGCATATTCTGTCCAACGTATCTATAAGGTGCATTTTTAGACCTCTTCTTATCGTGTGTCCAGATACATTTTTTAGCATATGATTGTGCTCTCCTTTCTAAATCTTTGTCCCAAATCTACAATTATGATAATTTGCTATATGAAGGAATTCGAAAAGAAACAGGTACAATATGTGTATAAAATATTAATACGGTGTATTCTATGTCATACAGTTTATATGGGAAAAAATCATTAAATAAAATATCAATACGGTGTATTCTATGTCATACAGTTTATATGGGAAAAAATCATTAAATAAAATATCAATACGGTGTATTCTATGTCATACAGTTTATATGGGAAAAAATCATTTTATAATATTGGCCTGCAGCAGTAGTATATCAGGATTTGAATCTAAAACTTGATACTCGTAATTGATTCTTATAAAAGTCTAGCATGTCCGAAATACAAATTTATTGTAAATGTTAAACCTTTTTATGTTTTATAAGAGAATATTTCAAAAAAAAAATGATATGGTATGATTACCAATGACACTATACATTTAAAATGGCAATTACGGAGGGAACCAACCTATATATGTACATCTAACGATCGCCGTTCAACCTTTAACCTTTTGAATACCGTAATGTAAGCTTTTAAAGGACTCGGAATGGCAAAATGTGACACATTAAAAAAACGGCCTGATTCATACTAAATCGAAATACGATTATGGCAAACTGAAGCCAACAACAACCACTGAATTACCAGCTCCGACAGGCACAACAAGATTTTGGTGGGTTTAAAAACTTTTGTGAACGCTCAACTCTCCCCATGGCTGATGTCGAAACAATGGGACTCTCGACCTTTAACTCACATTACGAGCGATATATTCAAAATACACGTAATACAGGGTCAACTTTTGTATTTTTTTGCGAAATTTAGAAACACAAAATTATTCAAATAATTGACATGTTTTGCTTATCTATAAAGATATACAGCGTTACTTTGCTTACTACTCTCTTCATATTAGATGCTGATGGACGAGCAGACCTCCGTACCCTGTTGTGATTTTCTAGTAGATCATATTTCTCATGTTCACAGAGAGTTTTGTCACAGTAAACACCTTTCTCGATTGATGCGCCTGGTTGAGCAAGAATACGTTGTTTTGTCGGCTGATTGTTGACTTCATCGTATTTGGTTCCTCTGTTCCCATTGGTAGATACAACTTTTGGAAATTGTTTACCAACACCTGGACGAATAGACTGGATTCTTACTCGACTTTGGGGAATAACTCTAGAACTGGAGCTAATTTTGACATGTGCTCCTGGTGGAAGATTTGATAAAAAATCCTTCGGAAATGGAAAATCACTGGAACTATTGTTCCCAACATTTCCTGAAAACATTTGATTAAAAATGGAAGACATATCCACATTTTTACTATTTGATGATGGAAGTTGTATAGTTTTGGACCACACCGGATTATTAGACCTTTGTACTGAAGACTTAGAATTCGAACCTTTTCTAGATGAATTGACTGTTTGAGACCACCATTGTTTGTGAAATGTTTTAGAACCTGGTATATGTTTATTATTATTACTTCCGGTATGTGTTATCCGTCTATGTGAAGTAAACCTACTATGTGGAATGTTTTGAATTGTCCTTACTACGGACGTTTTGCCTGGTGTTAGGGTTCTGGTTATTGAAGTTGATTTTCCAGGATTTCCAACATTTGTCGTTCTTGAAGTTAAAACAACTGTTCCGGTTGGTAAATTTCCTAGATTTTCGTTTGACATTTGTCCATTCCAATTAGAAAACCTCTGGTCCTTTTGAATATTTCCAGACGTTGGTCTAGACAACGGAACGCCATTCTGATTAAATCCTCCTATTCGAAAAGTTCTTCTTGTATAAAAACTCTTCCCTTTACATTGATGAGGAAAGAAACAAACCATAACAATGAGATATAAAGATAGTAGTGTCATTGTGAGCTTAAAGTGCAGTACATATCCATGGTCACCTTATACTACGCAATTACACCTACAAGGAAAACACAAAGCTGTCAGCTATCGGTGACACACTAAAGTATATTACCTTTATACATTCTATGGTTTGCAAGTTAAACAATTAAATTTCATCATGTTAACATTTGTATAAATGTGTAAGTTCCGCTTCTGGTTTTCTTTCAGATCCCGCCTTCGCGAAGTGAGCTGTTGGTTTAGTCATTATTTTTATTTTAAAAGGTTCAATTTTGTCTCTTTTGGCATTTCCCTTTCACCACACGCCCACGAAACTAGGGGAAATGATGATTTTTTGCTCTGTGTGTCCTTCTATTAAAGTTTTGGTTTGATGTTGGTTGAATTAGCTCTGCAATGGTAGCGTATTAACACGAAATCAGCTTTTTTACGAAATTTACGAAATCAGTAATTTTGACCAAAAAATAATGTCTCTTTTGCCTGGTTTGGATAGTTTTAGTTATGTTTGGTGTAAATCGAATGGGGTTTATGAATTTGGTTAATCATACCTGGGTCTAACAGTCTAAGCAAGATTTAAATAGTTAACCATAGATAAGACTCCAAAACTTGTCCAACATTAAACGTTTCCTTATCCATACATGCTCTTCAATCTCTCCCGTATTTTTATACTATCCATTACATTTTCAAATTTCATACTACAATAAATAGCAGTTTGTATGAAGGTCTGGATGGGGTTTAAGAGAATAGAGAGTAATAGGCAAAAAATATAAAGAATAGAGAAAAATGGATCAAAAAAAATAAGGAATAGAGAATATTAAGAACAGTGAATATAGAAAAATGGCCTAAAAAATTAAAGAATACGGAAATGAAGGCCCCCGCCACCCAAACCCTCTGTATTGTGTAAGCTTTTGCTTCCAGCGTTTTTGTTTGATTTGTTTTTATGTTCACACTTGTCTTAGGAATATTCGCTATAATTGCATTTTCAAATTTTCCATTACAATATGTAACCCCGCTTGTTTTTTTTCTAGGCTATGCTCTAAAATATTTGCACCAGCAACACCCATATTTCTTAATATCTTTTTAACAAAATAATTCAAACATTTTGAGGGGGTATCAGGGCCGAATGATCTAAGTAGTGTGACTACTATATCACTAGCCTGTCACACTTAAGGTTGTGAATTCGAACCCCGCACGTGGCAGGCGTGTTCGACTCCAATATCAATTGAGAAGGATTGCTAGATTTTCTGCCAAAAATGTGTGGTTCTCTCCGGACACTCTGGCTTCCCGCACCATTACAACTGGACACGCGAAATATACAGTAGTGATTAAAGTGGCGTTAAACACCAAAATTCAATTAATCAATCAATTCTTTTTTTTTTTTTTTTTTGCTTTTTTGCATACATATAAAAAAAGATCACAAGAATCGCCAAAAAGAACTACATTACATCAGCCAACATCAAAACACCAGCAACAGACTCCTCCGAAAATACACATACAAACAAATTTATATAAATAAAAACGAAAAACAGATGATCCAGATAGCCTGACTTGAAACCTTCAACTCTAGTTATTTCTGGTATATTATTCATATACTTTTAACATTTATCTCTTCCAATACATTTCATATAATTATGAAAAAACTAGAACCATCTAAATTAAAGTATTCCCACCATATCTATGTTTTTAATAATCCGAATTTAAAGAACAAGCATACGAACCTACCTTTAATTTTTTCCATATTTTTAATTTTAAACCATGGAAGTAAAATGAAATATAATACTTCCATGGTTAAACACATTATCCTTAGCCATTTATGAAATTTTATGTTTGAAAAGTAACAGTAAAAATCCTTAAAGATTTAATTGCATGCTATTCTTTGTCCTTTTTTTATTTTTCCGTAAGTGAAAGGGTAAGGGTATTTATGATCTTCTTTGTGATACAGCCGTCTCAAAAGTCGGGTCTGCACAAATGAAATACATACATTTTAAATCGATGCAATACAATGTTCACATTGGTCTAACAAGATCATAACAATATCTTTATTAGCTTTTATAGTGTCTTTTATTATAATAAATGATTTTAAAACTTGTAAAGACATAGCGGAAATCGATACAATTAAAGTTCTGATTCTAAATTGTCAAAGAACACCTCTAGCATCCTCCATTTTCTTAATTCACACCGTACAAATTACGACAAATTCTTAAAAATTTTACCAGTAGCCGAAAACTTTCAAAATAAGATGTTACATTGTACATTTAAATCATTTTTTTTTCAAACAAATTAAGTTACCAGTATTCGTACAAATTACGACAAATTCTTCAAAATTTTACCAGTAGCCGAAAACTTTCAAAATAAGATTAAAATCATTTTTTTTATTTATGCATTCTCTATCAAACAAATTAAGTAACCAGAATTGTTTCATTTTCATTTTTTTTTTAAATTATAACAAAAAGGACTTACGTAGTTTGTTTTAGTTTGTGCAATCCGCCATACTTTGATCCTTTCCCCCTAAACTGCAATTACATAGTGTGATAGATAGTTGTGACACCTAAAAGTCATTGACCCTATGTAAGACAGAAGTGATTTAGTATTGTTTGTACTGGATCACTCCCCTCATCCTTACTATACATCTTATTATCGTATAGTCTAGGTAACAGTTGTCCAACACATTCACTAGGATTTATATCACTCTTTGGAGATTTACATAAGCTCACTCTTTCACTTCTTGCGTCATGGTAATAATATATGCTTTTCAAAACAATCGCAAATGTGATGCAGAAGTAATAACAAATGGATTGTGAAAATAATTCGATCAAAAGGTTATTTGTCTCAAATTACTGGATTTTACTGCGTCCATTGTGTATTTTCCTTTTTTCGTCATACATTATTCCAATGTTTTCCATATGAATGAAACAATGCATTGTTTAATTCATGATTTTCTATCTAAACTATTTATTTAATTTCAAAATCCATGCAGAAATCAATGTTAGTGTCATCAAAAGAAATGTCCGCACTCTGTCAGGGTTTGTCTGTTAAAGTTCAAATTGAAATTGAACTTCAGAAATTACCTTGGGTTGGCTTAAAGCACACTCGCAATTTTCTATATTCTTAAATAAGTACATTGAATGAAACAAATTAACAGTTAATATTGCATCACTTTAATATACATTAGAAAATTTTAAAAGATATGCAATCAATTTAAAATCTTTATCAATAACCGTTATTTTCTCATTCAAACAATTGAAATTTTGTAAAAGATTAATTACAGTACAAAACTTATTTTTATGTGTGTCAGCATACTGACATAATGATGTGTATGTTTGTAAGTTTGTTTGTTTGTTTGTGTGTCTGTTTAGTTTGTTTGTTTTGTTTTATTTCATTTCCTCCGCGTTACTTTCAAAATGTTTGCTAATTTTATGAAGATGTGACCTATTTAACTGAAGCGGATGTGACTAATATGAAAATGATCTATACGGTATATGTTTAACCCACAGCCGCAAGATAAACATTTTTCTTACTAGACTTAGTATAACGATAGTCTTTCGTAAGAGTTTTTCTTTCAAACAAGTCTTTCCAAACACTTCATTTAAGTATTATTGATGAAAAAGGATAAAATATACTTCGCTGAACAAGAGCAAGATAAGCATGATAAGTTAAAAAGATTAGCAACACATGTTTTTCAATCTTCCTTTGAAGTTGCTGACCATGAAAAGTTAAAAACCATTCAATTCAAACTCGATATTTGCGATTTGCTATATTTTTTTTTATCTTTTCCGGTAATAATATTTTGATATATATAGATATATTAAAATGGTTATTTGATTATGACTTGAAGAAAAAAAAATGTTGCTAATCTTTTTTTCTTTCAACACTATAAAAAATATACATCAAAGCTTAGCAAACTAATAAACTATTATATAGAATAGACAAAGGAAACGGGGAATGTGTCGAAGAGAAAACAACCTGACCAAAGAAAAGAAAACAGCCCAAGGCCACCAATAATAATAATAATAATAATAATAATAACAATAAAATCTTTATTTAAAGAGGGTAAGCACGGTTAGTTACAACAAACTAATCTTCTCTGCGGCCCTCACATACAAATTACAATACAATCAAAAACAGATATTTACACATAGTTAATTTACAGTAAAGTAGTTCAATGACAATGTATTATTATTGACATGATAAGATATAAAATGTTCAAGAGTTACTTGTAGTAAAAAATAAAAAAAAATAAAATAAAAATAAAATAAAAAAAATATACAAATCAAAATGATACATTGTAGAAAACAGAATCTTATCAGGACTGTGTTAAGTACTTCTTGATACTTTGTTTAAAGGTAAAAGTGTTTTGAGCTTTACGCATTGTGTGTGGTAATAGAAAAACAAAGAATATGGGGTTATCCATCCATGACACAAAACCAATAAATGCACAACAAAACAACATACAAAAAGCAAAGGAACACTGGTGTTTCCATAAGCACACATTTATATAGAAGTAAATATTTGTGGTATTTAATTCTATTTTCAACTGTCATTAACCCAATTTCTTTAATTAAGGGGACTAAGGGGGATAAAGGATCTGTATCTAGAATTAATCTTGCTTCCCTTCTTTGGAGTTTTAATATTCTTGTTATCCCTTCATTTTTACATTCTCCCAAAATAATACAGCAGTAGTCAATTAGGGGCAGAATATACCCATTGTAATATGTTTTCCTAGCACTTGTATCTAAAAATTTCTTTATTTTAGAAAGAAGGTATATTTTGGATGATATGTTAGCACAAACTTGGTCAATTTGGTTTCTCAAGCTAAGTGTGCTGTTAATTATAACACCTAATAATTTTTCGCATGAAGAATTTTGAAATATTTTTGAATTCATTATTAAGTTTGGTTGATAAGTCTGAATTGATAGTTTCTGCTTTGTTCCAGAACCAAACATTTTGTTTTATTTGCAATGATGAACATGTTATTCATTTTGCACTACTCTTCAACCCTCTATAAATCTTCTCGAACACCATCATGTATATTTTCTATGTTTTTCATTAGTATA